CAGCGGACAGCCCAGACGCGTCTGGGCTGTCCGCTGCCCGCATGCTCCGCCGCTTTGCTTCCTCTCCCTGGTCTGCTGGAGACCAGGGAGACGGGCCCCGTTCGTAACTGCGGATCCGACATAAGTCGAATCCGCGTAACTCGGGGACCGCCTGTATTGGCACCTAGCAGGAAGCTACTTTAGCCCCACTGTGCTACTGGTGGTACTGGCAGGGGCTCCAGGACATTTAAAATAAACTGGGGATGGCAGGAGGCTGGGGGAATATGGGAAAGGGAGTGTGCAAGGGTGTCAGGTGGAGCTAGTGTTACCTACCAGTCCTGTGCTCTTGGGGAGCCAGGGAGTGATATGCATGGAAAACCTTCCCCTAGGCCTTTGCTAGAATCAGACAAAGCAATGAAAAGGCCAGGGAAGACACACCTCAACTAATTAATGAAACACCCCAGCCTCCTCTGCAGTGAAGATAGAACTCATTAGCATACAGAATGGAGAACAGATCTTCCAAGGCAGGAACCGCAGTGAACTATGGGATACAGAAAGTAGAGAAGCAGTGCCTGATGGGAAAACTCTACTACCCTGCTCACACCCAAATTAGTCATTTTCAAACCAATAATTCTAGTAACAATCCTATTGACATCCAAAATACTGAAACTGCCCAGTTGCATTGTGAGCTCCTTCAAGGAACATCACCTATAACCAGGTGTGATCAGTCTCTATTGTCTCACCTCTTTCTCTTTGAACTATTGTCCTATCCCTATAAAAACTCCTATCCTTGCCCCAAGGAAAACTGTTCTGATACCTGGATTTAAACTGCATCAGTTCCACTGAGACTTCATCATCTCCTGTCTGATCGTGCTGGGGGCTCTGCTCTGCTTGTCTCTTGCCCTCTGGACCCCCGGCTAGCATCATCATCTGGGAACCCCGATCAGTGCAAGCTCTGTGGAGTGGTGAGGTCTCTCTCTCTCTCAATCTCTCTCTCTCTCTCTCTCTCTCTATCTCCTACTACCTATCTTTAAGCCTAGCCTCCTGACTCTGCCCTATGTAAACTGTCATATGGTTAGCTAGCCCTAACATTTGCAATCAGTTCTAATTAGATTTAATAATGTAACTGTTAGATGTAATATTGTAACTGTTTTATGTGTTTGGCTCCCTATACATATATAATAAATAACTTTCATTGTTAAGCTGGTTGCTTCTCTCTCTTTCTTTCTCTTTTTCTCACTCTTCCTCAAGGGGTGTTGTTTTGGCTTCCCCATTCGCTCTGCAACAACGCTTCTTGTACCCAAGCTAAAGATCCCTGGATTGCCCAAAATCCTGTGGGGTGAGATTGTGTGGTTTACCAGTGAATGACTGTGGTGGGAAAGTGGGGATAGGGGGTACTGAACCTGGGGGCTTTTGAGGATGGCAGTTTAAAGTGCTGTTTAATTCAGCCCAATGAGTCCAAAGGCTCATGAGGGTTCAGTGTGGCATTGCTGTTAACCCAGCCTGCTGAATGCAGGGACTTATGAGGGGTCAGTTTGTGAGTGCTAATTACCCAGTCCTCTCAGATGTGCTCTGTTAGTGGGTGTGAGTGTCTGTGTGTTGCTAAGGTGGGAAGAACCCCATCCTGAGGAACCTAGTTCCTGCAGGAGAGCTCCAGTGGGAGGGGGAATTGGCAGCAGGGAGAGAATTCAACTCCATATGAGAGCACACGTAAGCACAAGCAGCACACTGATAGAATTGTTAACCTCCTCCCAGTCCCATAAGAGTAACCCTGATAAATGAGCATACCCCAGAGTATTGGGCAAATCTGGTAACACTAAGGGAGAGGCCCAGCCCTGAACTTTAGTGGAGTTGGGCACTGAACCAGGAATATTTCTGGTACCCAGGTATAACGGGCCCATAGAACTCGCCACCCATATCAGACACTGTCAGTTCTCCTTTTAGTTTGTGCACTTTCTAGCAACAAAGTAGGCAACTAGTTTGATTTGGGCCCATTTTGAATTGTTGTCATGACACTGTTATTTATATAAATAAGTTAGGTGAAGAGAGTTCAGCAAAGATATTCAATATAGATGTACAGCCAACCCTAAACATGTTGATCCTTGTATCTCACAATGAATTATTTGAATACACACATGTAAACGACAAAAATACAATATCTAAATTAAATAAACAAACAAAAATATTAATAACTCATTAAAAAGATTTACTAATAATTTTATTGGGACCTTTTGATAAGATATTACTGTTCCATTTCTGTTTCCAAAATTTTCATTCAAAATAATGTCCACTGTGCCAAAACTTTCATATAATCATGCTTCTGCTTTGTGAATATTGCACATAGGAAAAAGTATAACAAAGTTACAAGAAGTTTAGAGCAGAACTTTTAAAAATCAACAAGATATAGTAAATGCAAGGAAATGAAACTGTTACCTAAAGAAACTCCTTACATAAGGAGGCTAGATTCTCTTACTCGATTTCTTTGTAAATCTTATTTTGTCCATGCTTACATTTTCTAAGGGCATGTCTAGACTACATGGCTCCATCGATGGAGCCATATAGATGAGTTTACTAGACACAGGAAAATGAAGCGGCGATTTAAATAATTGTCACTTCATTTGCATCAAAATGGCCACCGCGCTGTGCCGTTCAGCTGTTTGGCGGCACAACGGGGCAATCTGGACATGCCACGGTCGACAAGGGAAGCCTTTGTCGACTGCTCCGGTAAACCTAATTTCATGAGAAGAAAGAAAGAAAGAAAGAAAGAAAGAAAGAAAGAAAGAAAGAAAGAAAGAAAGAAAGAAAGAAAGAAAGAAAGAAAGAAAGAAAAACAGAAACAAACCTGATTTATTTTCTGTGTCATCAAATTCAACACTAGTGGAATGTCCGTTGTTGAGGATGACTTTAGCAGACGTTGGATCATAGTTAGGACTAATAGGCGGAAGACCGGGGTCATATTTGGTTTCTTCAGTTTTGATGTCAATGGGAGACTGACGGTTTCCGTTAGCAACAGGAAAAACCTCTTTCCAGTGAGCAGGCCCTAAAATGCATCAGAAGAAAGTGGGGAAGAAAGGGAGAGAAGGTATTTTTAAATGAATGAATGAATGAATGAAATTGTGTTTGCTATTTTCATAGAAACAAAGGAATTGTCATATGAGAAAAATCAAAAAGAACTCACCTGTATTATCTTAATTAAGTTTGTTTATTTATTTTAAATTTAAAATGATTCTCCACAGAATATATCATATGGCTGTCTTTCCTGGGTCATCGGACAGCTTTCTGTTCTCAACACAGATCCTTCTCTAGTCTAATTGACTAAACATAGATGCAGATTAGAATATTAGTTTGGCACTTTTTTGCTTCTTTCCAGGTACTTCTAGCCAACAGGAATACAGCAGGCACCAGTACATTCAGAAAGTGCAGACGTGTTTAACTCTTCATCTGATGAAATAAAATTCCTTGATGATATCCCGAGAGGCAGAAGCCCTAACAGTGTGAGCCCAATAGATCTACACTGACAGAGAGTGGGGAGGATGCTAAGAGAGCATTCTGCACAGAATTTTCATGTGGGGAGGCTGGGGTTTGAGCCTGACTACTACTATCAATTCTAGTACCAAAGTACCCTTCCCACCTCACCGCAGACACAGACCATCACAGTTCTCACATGACATGTAACAGTAAAAGCCAGAAGAAAAATGGATCCAATTTGTGGTTAAAACAAACACCCCCATACCCAAACCTAGCGTTTGATACAGACACTGTCAGACTCAAGGAATGGCAACACTCCTGGCAATTAAGGCCCGTGACTCCAACGCCAGCCTGTCCTGGATGATAAAAGAGGAAGAGAGAACAACTGGTTGAGATTAACGCCATCCCCTTTCAGAGAAATGCACCAGAAGTCCAATGAATATTAAAGGAACTATCACTCAACAGTAGTGGAGGCTCAAACTAACCTCCCTTTTCTAAGCAAGTTAATTAAAAAATTACCAAAATAAAACTCTCTTTAATGTCACTTATCTGCTGCAAGTATTCTAACAGGATAGGGCAGGGGTTCTCAAACTTTGTAATACCGCGACACCCTAAAATTCTAAATGAATTTGTGACCCCCCCCCCCACCCTCACTGCTCCACGAGTAAAGGGGGAGTTGGGGGCAGTGGAGCTGGCCGGGGGAGATCGGGCAGGGGAACGGGCCGGTGGGAAGTAGGGCTGGCGGGGTGGGGGGGGAGGCGGGTTGGGTGCAGCGGGGTTGGCTGGGGGACATTGGGAGGAGGAGGGGAGGACTGGCCACCAGAAGCAGGGCTGGGGGGGGGAGCAGGGCCGGGCTGGGGA